AATATTTTAAGTTATTTATATGCATTTGAAATTTTGAAATTTTAGGTTTTCTTTTCTGTAAATATTGATTTTAAAATGCTAAACTTGATCAAAAACCTTGAAAATTTAAAATATGATTTCTGATAATAGTTGTGTTAATAGTAGTTTGCAAATATTGAAAACAGCTAGGCATATATAATTGTTTTTATGAATATTATTTGATAGTCTAATTTTGACAAAATTCGATATTTAAATAAAAAAATAAATATTGATCTTGGGGACTTGAAACTTTTAGCAATTACGTGTTCTGCGTATATTAATTTTTATTATATGGGTACTATACACAATTAAATTTTAAAAACATTTAGATTAATTGTAAGATAATATTATTCCACGAATCTATTCACACGCCATTTATTTACGGTACGTCGAGCGTCAGTATCGACTTATTATATTTAATAACCAACAGTAATGTAATATACAGTGGCACTTATAAGGGGGTGATAGGTAGTTCGCCCCCCTTCATGGGATCTTCCTTGATCACATTTTTCGTTTTAATACCACGGATTATATCTAAGTCAAGTARTTTATTTTTCAGAATTTTTCTAAAATCCAATATTTTTTTGGTTAAATTAATTTGGAACGTAATAAATTTTTTTTAAATATGATTTTTCAGAAGTTGGTAACATATTATAAGTATATTTTTTAAATTATTTCCTTATCATATCATATTAAAAATTTTTGTCATATATGTTGATTAGCATATTTTTTATCAGGTTTTTCTGTTACACCCTGTATGGCTGTATACTATATAAAAAATTATCTGGAGGGAGGGTTAACTTTATTTGTACCCCTTCCCCTTGAACATCATGTATAACCGCCACAGAGCATTTATAAGTAATGAAATGCATGTAGTTTTTTATGCAAAAATTATTTCTATTTCCATTAGGTATWCAAATAAATTACCAAAAGCAGTATAAATATAATACTATAACAAAACATCATTGAAAAACAGAAATTTAGGAGACTAACAAACCTCCACTTCCGATTTAATAATAACTAATAAGGCTCTGCTCAAAATCGTTGTTCGTATACAATGAGTATATCTACATTGATCTACCTACTCAACGAAGATGCATACTCGTCACCTTCTTATTGCTATACAGCAAACTTAAAAGCGGCAGTGAATCTAGTTGGTACTTTGGGGAGGTCAAAAAGTAAAAAATTCTCAATATTTTTCTAAATAATCGGTATAAACAAACTAAAAATTAAAGGAAAAACGGAAATTTTACGCACTATCAGTTTTCGACAAATTCTATTTAGGCTTTTGATGTAACTTTAAAACGAATGACCATAGATACATGAAATTTTTACTGAATGTGTTGATACCTATAAGTATATTCTATCCACCATGCAAAATTCGAATTAATTAACTATTTATAAGCATATGCAATTTTCGATCATTATTAGTATTTTTTAAATTAATATCGATAAAAATGTATTTGAGTAGAAAAGCTTGATAATTTAATACAAGACTCCTAACATATTTTAAAATAGCAGTTGAAAAATAAAAGAAATACATAGTCACAATATTCTTTTCTATAAGCATTCAAAGTTTGAATTTTGACAAAATACGTAAGATTCACGAAAATTTGCAAATTATTTTAAGCTAGAAATTCATAAAAATGTAATACAAGATTTTTTTAAAGTTTGTCAACCTTTATCATAAAAAAATATCCACCAGAAAGTCAAATCAAGTTTTTATGAGCGTTTGAAATTTAAATTTTTACAACATAATATTTTCACTAGATTTCTCATTTAGCGATTTTCTTATTTTGGTGTAACTCTAAAACAAATAACCG